GAGCAATGATGTCAGTTTGAGAATCAGGGTGCGCTGATTTAGGTCATAGCCTTTTTAATCACTTGCTATGCATGTGAGAACTGAATAATGAATAAGGATGACAGAAGAAGAACTGATGCCTTTGAGCTGAGCTATTGGGAGTACTGAACATCCTGTGATTGCCCAAATACAAACAAAAAATTGGTCTTGAACAAAGCGCAGCCAGAGTGCTCCTTGGAGGCAAAGATGACAAAGCTTCATTTCACATACCCTGGGCAGTTGGAGGGGATATTTCTCGGAGAGGGACATCTTATTAGCAAAAGAGAAATCCATGGATTGACACAGTGTTAACAGACTGACATGGTGACTGCTCACTCAATGGGCTCAAGTATGTAAAAAATGATAAAGATAGGACTGGATTCAGATCTGCTGTTTGGAGGGTTGCCTTGATGATCCGATCCCGTCGTCTGTCGTGACTGCCGCTGACTGACGGATAATGATGTGTTTAATAATTTACATTGTCAACTGACAGAACGTGGTCAGTGGGGACTTTTTTGCAGGCATGATACACATCACACATCTCTGCATGTGCATCTACCAGGAAAAGCAGCAGGATCTCTCTCACTTGTAAGGCTCTCAATTTCTGGACCCCTAAAGTACAAGCTAACAAAAATGTCAAACAGCCTTGAATGGTTATAAACTCTTAGGAAAGATTTTCACCACCACCCCTGCAGCAGAGCCAAAGTAGAGACAATCTTCTTTTTGGGGCCAGAGAATGAAATTTTTTGTCTGTATACTCAATGAAATATAGTCCTCTGAATGTATCAGATTTGAGAGTACTCAGCACTGGTGGTCTAGTGGTAAGAAGCTGCACTGCTATCCTGAAGGCCCATGGTTTGAATCCACCAGTTGCTCTGAAGGAGAAGGATGGACAATCTCCTTCTGTGCCTATGAAAACCTGCTGGAGGGTCATCTATGGGTTGGTTCTGACTTGAAGGTACACAACAACATCCACCTCCAGTAAGCTCTGGTGACTTAGTGATAAGGAATCACACTATCAAAGCAAAGGTGGTTTGAATCCACCAGCCACTTGGCAGGAGAAAGGCAATTTCTGCCCAATCAATTTACTTCCTCTGAAAATCCACTAGAGGGTCAGTTATGGGTCAGTTCTGACTTGACAGTACATAACAATATCTACCTCTCATGTCCTCATTTTCTATCCCCATGGGGATAAATAATTAAGACTCAACAAGAGTTAATATCAGGGCCAGGGTCAGGCTTATCTTAAGTTTTCAAAGTGGCATCCCTGCTCTTTAGCACTTTAAAAAGGTCTTCGGCAGATTGGCCATGTTTAATTTCTTGACTGTTGATTCCATGGATATTGTTTAAGGGTCCAAGTGAAAGGAAATCCTTGATATAACTTTTCTCCACTTATTATGATGTCATTTACTAGGTGATTTCTGTTGTTTCTATGAGGTACAATCCACAGTAAAACCTTAGAACTTTGACTCAAACCTTGGAACAGTATTTTCAACTGTTCCACAAGCACATAAAAGTTGGACAATGAATAAGCAAGATCAAAAAGTAACAGCCAAATTTGAATCACAGTAATAGCAAAGAACAGAATATCCTACAGACTGCTGAAAGAACAAACCTGCCCTGGAGAAAATGCAGCCAGAGTGCTCCTTCGAAGTAAGGATGGTGAGACTTCATCTCACACACTTTGGATATGCTATTAGAAGCGTTAGTCCCTGGAAAAGGCTTGGAAAAGTGAAAGATTAGCAAAATCAAGAAAGCCCCTCCAAGAGCTGAAGTGACACAGTGGCTACAATGAGTTCACGCACAGGAGACACTGTGACTGTCAGCATGGTCCATGATTAAGCAGGGCTTTGTGGGCCAGAGCTGACTCAATGACACCTGCATTCTTCTTGTATCCTGAATTAAAACCAAGTGAGTTTGCAGGAAAGTAAGAGAAAGATCTCTAACCACACCTAAAGAAATAGAGTAACCAGTACCTTTGGCCTGGTGTCTCAGTAGAATTAAGCATTGGGATGTTAACTGAAAGATATGGCATGAGAGAAAGGTATGGGAGGTTTCAATAAAGAGTACAGCTTTAGAAACCCTAAGGAACAAGTCCGCCTACTCCTTCATTGTAACTGTAAATTAGCTGGAAGGCAGTGAGCCGATTTGTTTCCCTCCAACATTTGACCTAATTTGAGAGTACTTAGTATGATTATTTTAGGGTTTTTTTGGTTTGGTTTCTTCCCCCCATTTCTATGGCAATTATTATTATTTAGCTACACACAGCCTAGATTTGTTTGAAGCCTGACATACATTTCTCTAATGCCACGTCTTTCAGTTAACATCCCAAGGCTTAATTCCATTGTGATGCCAGGGCTCCTTTCAAGGCCAAAGGTACTGGTTACTCTATCTCTTCAGGTGTGATTAGAGATATCTCCCTTACGTTTCTGAAAACTCAGCTACTTTGAAACTGAGTTGGTTGGTTTATTTGACTTTCTAGGGCTTCTGTCAATTGGTATGCTGTCAATTTCTTGGCCCATGTTTTTTACCAAGCCCTTCAGAGCATTTTGAACTTCCTCCATCATCACAGGCTCTTGATAATAGGAACTGATGGCATATCAACTGACATATTTCAACAAACAGACGCTGCCCTGGACACATTCACCAAGTTGTGCTAAGAAATCTGGAGGACAACCACCTACCTGGCCAACTGACTGGAAGAGGTTGATACTTATCCCCATTCAAAAAAAAAAAAGGTAATCTGATAAGTGTGTGGAAATTATCAAACAATATCATTAATATCACATGCAAGCAACATCCTGCTGAAAATTATCCAAAAACGAATGGAACAGCACACCAAAAGAGAACTGTCGGATGTGCAAGCTGGGTTTAGAAGACACTGTGGCAATAGGGACATTATAGCCATGTCAGATGGATCTTAGCTGAAAGCAGACAGTACCAGAGGAATTTCTATCTGTTTCACTGACTATGCAAAGGCACGTGACTGTGTGAATCACTACAAACCATGGCTAACTCTGAGAAGAACGGGGAATCCCAAAATACTTGATTCTGCTTATGCGAAACCTATACTTGAACCAGGAAGTAGTCGTCAGAACAGAGCAAGAAAACATTGGATAGTTCAGAGTCAGAAAGGGTGGATACCAGGGATACATCCTATCTCCATATCTTTTCAATCTGTATGTAGAACAGATCATCTGGGACACTGGGCTCTATGAGGAGGAATGTGCCATCAGGATTGGAGGAAGACTCACCAACCACCTGCTTTATGCGGATGAAGCATCCTTGCTTGCTGAAATTGAGGAGGACCTGAGGACTGCAGCCTTCAATATAGACTGAAGCCGAACATCAAGAAAACAAAGATTCTCACCAACGGGCTAACTGACAGCATCACGACAGACAGCAGTGACAAGATTAAGATTGTTAACAGCTTCAGCTTGCTTGGCTCCACAATCAACACAGCCAGGAAATAAAAAGACTGTCAGGGACCTCTCCAGAGTACTAAAGGGCAACAATGTCAGTCTAGAGACTAAGATGGGCCTGATCAGGCTATTGTCTTTGGAATTACTTGCTATGCATTAGAAAGCTGGACAATGACTAAGGATGGTAGAAGATCCCTTTGAGTTGCAGTTCTAGAGAAGAGTAGTATTGAATGGACTGCTAAGAGAACAAACAGGGTTTGTCCTTGAGAGGGTGAAACCAGGTTGTTCTGAGGAGACAAGGATTTTGAAGCTTTGTCTGACATATTTTGGGCATGCTGCAAGGAGAGACCAGCCCTTAGAGAAAGACATCATGCTTAGAAAGGTGGAGGGACAGGAAAAGAGAGGAAGACCCTGGATGAGATGGACTGACTTAATGACTGGGGTCATGGACTGGGTGTGTCAAAGACAATGAAGCTGGCTCAAGATAGAGCAGAATTCAAAGCTGTTGTACATAGGGTTGCCGTGAGTCAAAAGCGACTTGACAAAACATTAACAATACAACAGGAATTTCATAATAACACAGTTTTGAGGTAAGGCCTTCCAAGCTTATTAACAAAATCAACAATGATGTTTTATAGTCAAACTAAAAGCTACTGCTTGTTTAAAATCACCAAATCAGGAAAACCATTTGCTACTTTTAACCAACCTGTTCCTATCCTTCTAATTTTTGTTCTGCTCCTCTCTCACAGCCCATGTTAAATTATCAGGCTCCATTAATGGTGGGGAATGTGGCGCAGGCCTACTCAGCAGAACCCCTGGCTTAGGGATGCGCACCGGATGGAAGGTGACCTAGTCAGGAAGAAGTACCCAACTCTGTTATGAATACAAAGTAAGAACTCCCACAGTGCTTCCCTAGAGCCCAATACCACTGAGTCTATTCCAGCTTTTAGCAACTCTCCATTGGGTTTCCAAGGCCATAAAATTCTTTACAGGAGAAGACTGACCATCCTCCCCCCATGGAGCCACTGGAGAATTTGAGCAACTAACCTATGCTTAGAACCACAGCACAAGGGTTTCCTGTAGGAGCCAATATAGTTCCAAGCCCAGGAGTTAGCATGGTGGTACAGTGCAGAGATGCACTACATTCCAAAGGAGGAGTCCTTCCGATGGAAGCAACCAGCAGTGGCTTCCCAGGAAAAAGAAGAACAATCTCCTCTCAGGCAATTGACAGTCTCTGAAAAGTCCCTAGAGTTAGAACCAGCACTTGTGCCAGTTCCAACTCAAAAGTAACGAGTCTGAGAACCACCACAGCAGAAGTATAACCAACACTGAGCCAGTACTGAGGACATGAAGGTGACATCAGGAGACAGAAAATGGAGACTCTACTTGCCATTGTTTATTTCCTTGATGAAAGTCAGTGCCATCTCTTTAATTTGTTTTGGTGGTGTTTTTTCAATTCCACAGCCAATACCATTTTCTTCCTTGTTTATGTCACCTGGTGCTAATCTTTTCAATTGAATTCATTCTTAACAACATTTTAAAAAAAATCCATTTCTTTACCTGGATAACCAATTCCTTTGGCATTTACATAGGGAACCCCAGACGATCCAGGGCTATAAACAGGATTCATGATTTCAAGAACTAAAAGAAAACAAAAAAAGTGCGTTAGCCATTTGTTGTGGTTCTCAGGTTTTCCTCCAATACCAAACCAAAAACCAAAGAGCTATAAACAATATTTATGTGGAAAATAAAACAAAAAACCATTATACAAAAGAAAACAGAACGTTAGTTAGCCAAGTGTTTTTGTTCCCAGATTTTTCTCCAACATCAGTCACAAGAGCAATTCCCAGTGTTGTTGTGCAGCAAGGAGTTGGAATGAACTCACAGCTGACCCTCCAGTAGGTTTTTGGAGGCTGGAGATGGCACAGGGGGAAACTGTCATCCTTCTCCTCTGGAGCAGCCAGTGGATTCAAACTGTGTGTGGGTTGGCACCACAATTCCTTACCACTAGACCACAAAACTAGTTCCTTCTTTAGATTACTGTAAAACAATCTGATGACTTGTTCACTGCCACTGCCACCCAGCACCTGCTGTTTGCTGCTGAATCAGAGCTGATCGGCCAGCAGGTTTTCAGAAGCAATAAACGGCACAGGAATAGACTGCCCATCCTTCTCCCACTTAGCATCTGGTGAACCATGTGCTTTTCAGATTGCAGCACAACTTCTTACCACTAGGCCACCAGAGCTCCCTTTTGTTCTCCCAACCAGCCAAGAATTGGGGGGGGGAGAGTGTCCTCACCAGAACAGTGCAAATCTTCCTTTATATCTCTTTTCAGATCTCTTGTTCATAGAGTCACTATGGGCAACAGCAACTACTTAAAACAGCTGGGAGAGGGGAGTCGGCAACTACTTAAAACAGCTGGGAGAGGGGAGTCGACCAATAATAACCTAACTATCCCTGTAGCAGAAGATCTAGCCATAGCCTGAAATACTATGTGACTGCTTTTACAAAGTGTTTAACAACCCAGCTCCGCAGCACGGAGACCACCCCGCCCCTCAAACATCCTCACGGGGACTTCATGGCACCACCCCGAATTGGAACACACAATGGCACTTTCCACTGCGGCAAGGCACTGGCTTGCGCCCTGCTTCGACTCCTGCCAGAGTACCAGGATGCAGAGATTGTGCGGACTCGGGACCCCGAAAAACTGGCCTCTTGTGACATCGTGGTGGATTGTGGGTGACGAATATGACCCTCAGAGACATCGGTATGACCATCACCAGAGGTCTTTCACTTGAGACCATGAGCTCCTTGTCCCCTGGAAAGCCTTGGCAGACCAAGCTGAGCAGTGCAGGACTCGTCTATCTGTACTTCGGTACAAGCTGTTGGCCCAGTTGCTGGGCACTAGTGAAGAGGACAGCATGGTGGGCACCCTCTATGACAAGATGTATGAGAACTTCATGGAGGAGGTGGATGAAGTGGACAATGGATCTCCCAGTGGCCAGAAGGGGAACACTGATACACACTGACCATGAACCTGAGTGTCCGAGTTTGCTCGACTTAATCCCACCTGGAATCAGTCCAACCAAGACACAAAGGCAGGGCCAACGTGCAAAGGATCTGGTTCGGGAATATTTTCTCCAGAGACTAGACTTTTACTAGCACAGCTGGCTGCCAGCCCTGGCCCTAGTGGAAGAGGCCTTGGCCCAGCGCTTCCAGGTGGACCCAAGTGGGAAGATAGTGGAACTTGCCAAAGGTGGTTGCCCCTGGAAGGAGCACCTCTACCACCTGGAATCTGAGCTGTCCCTCCCCCAGTGGCCATTGCCTTTGTTATCTATACTGACCAGGCTGGGCAGTGGCAGGTACATGTGTGCCTAAGGAGCCCCACTCATTCCAGAGCCGGCTGTCCCTGCTGGAGCCATGGCAGGGTCTTTGGGACAAGGCCCTGGATGAGGTCACTGGGATCTCTGGCTGCAACTTCGAACACGCCAGCGGCTTCAGTGGTGGACATCATACCCGAGAATGTGCTTTGAGTATGGCCCATGCCACCTTGGCTCAGGGTCCACTACCTATGCCTCCAATAAACGCCCAAGGCCAATAAAAATGTCTCATATTGAACAAAAAAAAATCAACAAAGTGTTTAACAACTGACGATAGATATGTTAAGGGATTGGGGGGCAGTAAAGTTTAACACTGCACCATTAAGTATGATGCAAAAATGTACAGCTACTTATAGATATGGGCACTCCTCACACAAGCACAGAAAGAAGTCTGGGGAGGAAAACACATCAAAACATTAAGCTAGTTTTCTTTTTTTTTACATTTTATTTTCTGACAGAACTTTAAAGTTACAGCCACAATTCTACCTCTTTCAACAAAAATAAGATTCTCATTAATACTGCCAGAAATTTCCTCTGAATTTTAGACCTTAAATGTGGCTGCTATATTGAAGCCACTATGTCAATTCATCTGGCTGAGGAGGTCTTTTTCACTGAGCTTCTACTTTACCAAGCATGACAAATAACGAAGAAATAATTAAGTGACAGCTGCATTCAGAGACTACTGGGTTGCTTAGAGATGCAGGACACCAGCAAAATATGATCATGGAGAGATCAATTAGCAACATGTGTAGATTCTAAGTGTGTGGATCATAACAAACTGTGGCAACTCTGAGAAGAATGGGAATCCCAGAACATTTAATCGTGCTAATGCGAAACCTATACTTGGACCAAGAGGCAGCCGTCAGAACAGAGCAGGGCAACACTGCATGGTTCAAAATTGGGAAGGGTGTACGCCAGGGATGTGCCCTGTCTCCATACCTTTTCAACATGTATGCAGAGCAGGTTATCCGAGAGGCTGGGCTCTATGAGGAGAAGTGTGGCGTTAGGATTGGTGGACAATCTATCAACAATCTGCATTATGCAGATGACATAACCCTGCTCACTGAAACTGAGGAGGACCTCATGCACTTACTGCAGAGGGTCAAGGACTGCAGCCTTCAATATGGACTGAGGCTCAATG